TATACAGAGCTGGATAGATTATTACAGATTGTAATCCGTTACTGATTCCAAATTACATGACAAAAAAAAAGTTTCGTTGCCGGGCCGGGGAAGGCTCCTCCGTGGCCTCCCGAATGGCCAGCATCGCCATAGCCTCCTGAACTGTCTGCTCTGCCTTGGCTTCCTAGTTTGCCTGCTCCGCCATGGCTTCCTAGTCTGCCTGCTCCGCCATGGCTTCCTAGTCCTCTTGCTCCACCATGGCGCCCTGAACTGCCTGCTCCGCCAGGGCCCCTGAGCTACATGTGCCGCCATGGCACCCTAGACTGCCTGATCCGCCCTGGAGGTATTCCCCGTGTCCCAGTCCTGCACCAGCCTCAGCGCGCCCACCCCACTCTACTCCAGTCTTCAGTGTCACATGATTCTTCAGAAATCATTCTAATATGCTGATTTATAATCAATTTTGGAAACAGTTGTGCTGCTTCATTTTTATTTAATTTTTTTTTGGAACCTGTGATATTTTTTTTCAGGATTCTTTTATGAATAAAAAAAATAAAAAGAACAGCATTTTTTTCAAAATAGAAATCTGGTGTTAATTGAAATAATACTTCAAAATATTACTGTTTTTGTCTGTATTTTTTATCAAATAAATCAACAGCCTTGATGAGCATAAGAAACTTTGTTAAAAAACTTTCTCCTTGTCTCGGCACTGTTCCAGTCCTGCACCAGCCTCTAGGGCGCCCGCCCCCCATCCCCAATGGTACTGTTACGGTGCGGGACGCGCCTTCCAGGAGTGGGGAGTAATGTTAGGGTTATATTTAGTTTTTGTCCTGGTTTTCATTGTGTTTTCAGTTAGCCTGTTCCCCTGTGACCTAGTTTTCCTTAGTCTCCTAATTGTCATTTTGTTCACCTGTGTTTGATTAATTAACTCATCAGTTCCTTTGTTTGCTCCCCTACTTAAAGCCGGAGTTCTCCCTTAGCCTTTGTCCATTCTACTTTAAGTTTAGCTGTGTGTTTTCTTGCTGTTTTCCTGCTTGTATTTATTATTAAATCAAGAATATTGTAATTGCAACTTTTGACTTCGTCTGCCTTCCTACGACACAGCGTAACACACGTGTTACAGTGCCCCCCATAAACACAATCAAGCCTTCGAAAATAGCTGGTTGACCACCCCTTTAAAGTAAATACATGAGGTTCAGATGACAAAAAGTTTGGGAATGTCTGCATTACATGTAAATAATGATTTTAAAAGACAAAAGCCTTTCAATAATACATAATAATAATACATGGTTAAATAACTTACTGATTGATAATTCAAATAAAAATGAATCCGTTTAAGTTAATGTTGAAACAATAGTTGATGTTAAATGCTGAAACGCTTCTTAAACCTGAAATGATTTTTGTAAATCCAATGGTCAAATTCTGTGTAGCCACCTGACTAATGATTGATCTCTGTGTGAATTTGAATGTATATATAGACTCTGAACATCTAAATGCCCTCTTGACGGGTTTCCTTGAATTGGCTCAAATAGTGCTTTAAATTGAGATTCTCTGAAATGATTTTGTGTTAATGTCATGACTATTTATATGACTATGGAACAGAATTCTTTTTGAAGATTTTATGCTGACATTTGTCAAATAATGCTCAAAACCTGAAATGTCAAATGCCATTACATTTCTGAGAAACACATCCATTAGTTTGTCATCCTTTGTGTTTAATATCAATACAGGAAATTCCTAGAAGACCTTGATTATTGTTTGATAAAATAATTTTGTTCTTGATAGAAATGAGTCATCTTGTATTCTGTATCCTAGAGCCATGTCAGATCAGATGATGAATATTCTTGCACACACTCCTTTAAACTTTGTGCAAAGAGCACTGACAGAAACTTCAAGAAAAAAGAGAAATCTTCTTGTGTACCTGAGTATTAATATGAATAAATAGGCTGGAGTTACATACTCCAAGGAAAAGAAAGACTTTAATATGTATAGCTTTTTAAACTTTATGTTAGCACTATACTACCATATAGATGACCTCAAAGGAAACAGACATGGATGCCTCTCCATGCTTTATTATATTGTATATGCAGTGAAGCATTATATATTGAACTCGAGCACTGACAGAAACTTCAAGAAAAAAGAGAAATCTTCTTGTGTACCTGAGTATTAATATGAATAAATAGGCTGGAGTTACATACTCCAAGGAAAAGAAAGACTTTAATATGTATAGCTTTTTAAACTTTATGTTAGCACTATACTACCATATAGATGACCTCAAAGGAAACAGACATGGATGTCTCTTCATGCTTTATTATATTGTATATGCAGTGAAGCATTATATATTGAACTCTTTAATGTCATTGAATAGGGGAGCAGATTTTCAGCTGTGTGAAAATTGAATGTTTTGTCAAATGGTAAATGGTTTGAACTCACCTGCACCATAGAGGTTTTAATGACTTGACTCACATCAAGCCTCCATTCAGCTACATCAGGGTTGTGATCATCCAGGTTAGATGAAAAGGCAAGAAGATGAGATCTGAAGTATTCTGTAATTACAAAAAAAAGTATTTGTTATTGTTAGTTTCTGACTACTGCACTGCAGTAAACCTGTGCTGCAGCATTTGCTTTCAATGTGTATTTACTGTATGATATAGTACTTAAAATGCAATATGAATATGGTTTCATTTTGAGTTTTGACATTTCTGAAGAAAAAAAAGAAAGAAAACAATTGGCTTTTATATTCAAATATTAAAAAATAACATTAACATAATTTTATTTTATCATGTTTTTTTTTTACCATACCATTTACCATTTTTACCATTCCTTGTATGCTTAACTACAATAGTTAAAGTGTTGATGTTTTCCAAATGTATCACAAATATACAAAGAGCAAAGAACAAAACATATTTCGAGAAATCTTATTGCTCATATATGAAGCTATCTTCAATACCTAGCAGTCTGTTTACTTATTGTGTGTAAAACTCACCGTGGACAGCGATGGTTTTCCTGTCTTGCAGGATGGTATTCCCAGCAGACACCTGTACAGTGACAATGCTGATTCCCTCTCGAGAGAACGTGAATGCAACACTCCCCTCCAGTGTGATCACGGGCTGTGAATACAGTTTGAGAGAGACTCTCAAGAGGACACCCTGTCAGCGCAGTTGCAGTGAACATGCCAACTTTATTTACATGGCAGTCTGTGAGGCA